TTTATTTGCATTTAATATGTGACTGTATATTAATAATTAATAATATTATATTGTTCACATTAGCTTACCTTAAGTTCTTCTTCCATTTCTGATATTTTTCTTTCAAGTGCTCGCTTTTCCTGTCAGAAAATAAAAATGTGAACATGATCATGCCCATGTATGATACAACTGTAACCAGCACCCTCTAGTTTAACTTTCAACGATGATTTGTCAAGTATGGGAAGAAAAAATGGTTTGGATGATCATCACTAGAACATGAACAGGAACATGAACACCAATATCACAATAGCGAGCATTTCAAATTACAGCCTAAGTAGTTTATGCAGTCTTTGTAGCAATACAATTGGAGCACAGAGGCAAAGCAGCATACTGCAGCCAAAATTCATTACCCCATCCCTACTGAATGAAGGTGTACTAACCCTTTTTTCATTTTCTAGTGCCCTCGTAGTTGACCTGTCTTCATTCCGATCTGATTTCTGCAATGCTTTTTCTAATTGAACTTTGTTTTCTGTTAATTCAAGTTGCGTTTCTCGTAGTTTGTCTTGCACTTTGTCATATTTTTCAACTTGAGACTCAAAAAGCTGCAAAGAAAAAAAAGAACGAACACATAAAGGAAAATAGTTTTTAAAGAAATTTGTAAATGAAGAAAGATGTTATTTAAAGAAGAATATTGACAAATACTTACCTTTTTACAATTAAGGCAAGGAGTTCCCGTTATAGTTTCATCTTTTTTATCTTTATCTTCTAAAACACCATATCGTCGACTGTAACGATCAGTTATTGATGACGAATACCTGTCAACAAACATACAATTATTAATCAGACAGCACAGAGAGCCTTCTCTAATGTTCCCCTTTATCATCAAGAAAATCTACTTTGACTTTTCATAATATTAAATAAAATTCTTTTGTAACAGATTTGAAGAAGTACAATGTCTTACCTTGAGGAACCTGAGCCTGCTCTATGGGTATACCGGTCTGCTATACTCTGCATGAAACAAACAAAACAAGTTGAAGAAAACTATACATTTTTATAGAAATGTACATGAACCAAAAATCACATTTACTATATACTGAATCAGTAAAAGATTACTTATTTTGAGCACATACATGTATGCTACTAAATAATAGAACATATTTATTTGAGCAACGTAATATAACAAACACATAGACTTTAAACACATTTTGATATACATGTATGTATATAGTTATTGGCAATTACAGACAGCATTATTTATTCTGCCGATACTATTGTTGATATCTTCCTTCTAAATAAAACAGGGTATATACAGCACATTACATTGCATTGCATTGCATTGCATTACACCACAACATCTCATCTCACTACATACATTGCATCGCTTCATATCACTTTATGTTTCATTGCATCACCTCACCTCATGTTTCATTGCCTTGCATCACCTATTGTCACCTTACATTACAATGCGTCACATTGCATCGCATCACCTTACATTACAATGCGTCACATTGCATTGCATCGCATCACCTTACATTACAATGCGTCACATTGCATCGCATCACCTTACATTACAATGCGTCACATTGCATTGCATCACATCACCTTACATTACAATGCGTCACATTGCATCGCATCACCTTACATTACATGCGTCACATTGCATTGCATCGCATCACCTTACATTACAATGCGTCACATTGCATCGCATCACCTTACATTACAATGCATTGCATCGCATCACATAACAATGCATCACATCACCTCATGTCACATTGCATCGCATCACCTTACATTACAATGCATCGCATTACCTTACATTACAATGCATCGCATCACCTTACATTACAATGCATTGCATCGCATAACAATGCATCGCATCGCATCACCTCATGTCACATTGCATCGCATCACCTTACATTACAATGCATCGCATTGCATCACCTTACATTACAATTTTGCATCTCATCACCTAATGTGAAGCAATGCAAAGTGACTTCACATGACATTGCATTATGTTACATTATACATGTACAAAATCATCAAGACAATTATTAACCTAATTGCTATTTTATACTTTGTCACACATTGGATTAGAAGTGTGCTAATTTACAGACAGTATATCAACAGTTATTTTGATGAAACACAAACATTTATCTTTTCCAATACTGAGACAAATTACTCACACAACACACTGAAACTAAAAATACGTTAATTTTTGATAACCAGATATCTCAATTCAATTTATTTGTGTTACTTTTTACTGTTGCTGGTGATCAAACCCAACAGCATCCATGCTTATATGGAGTTATAATTCTTGGCATTTTCCAAATTATCATGCACTGGGTGATTAAAGGTTATGATTCATCATTATCATAGACAATAATAACGTCATCTCTTACTACCCTCCCACCAGAATTAGACCCTGTTGGAATAAACAAGTAAATGCTATTCCAACCTAATTTAAAATAAAATAGATAATTACACACCCTTTAATGGTTCACAAGTTACCAACTATCAAAATTGAACCCCGAATGTATTATTATTACTAAATTCTAAAACAAATGCCATTTTCAGATTGAGAAACTCTTATTTGAAAAACAAAATGAGACACATCAAGGTCCCCTAATGTCTGATGTTTGTACTGAGTTTGAACAAAATGTGTCCAAACAAGTGATCCGGTTCTGTGTCCATCAATGATCTAACTTTCTAATAGACGTTATTTGAAATAAAATTTTATTTAATGGGCATGTTTAAATCTAAGAAAGCTTAAAGAGAACTCAACTGCTATATCCTGAGTATAAGAAGGCACATGAATTAGGGAATATTTACAATTAATTACAAATTCAAGATTAGCCTTTTAAACAAGATGCCTGGTGGCTAATATACACTGTAGCGTGACCCTGAGAGCCACAACATAAAAGCAATCTGATCCACAGTATTGAGTTTTACAATGCTGACAACAAACTATTGGAAGCACAAAAAAAAACAATTTCTGATTTTTCTCCATGGCACCTATGTTCTAACCTTTTCACCACTAGCTCCCGCTTTTCATCAGAAATTCACAAAAAAGTCTTGTTTATAGTCCAAGTTTTCTGTCAGAAGACTGGAACAAAATTAGCCAAATTTGTTCAAAATTGACTTAAATTGTGTCTGTTTGCTCCAAAATTAAGGTTTATTTCTAGAAATATTGAAGAATATAAGAAAAAGGTACGAAAAAGTCTGGTAGTGAAAAGATTAAATGTAAAAAAAAGGTTATTGAGATAACAGAACAGTGTTCCCTCTAAGCATCAGGTGAGATAAGAGAACAGTGTTCCCTCTAAGCATCAGGTGAGATAACAGAACAGTGTTCCCTCTAAGCATCAGGTGAGATAACAGAACAGTGTTCCCTCTAAGCATCAGGTGAGATAACAGAACAGTGTTCCCTCTAAGCATCAGGTGAGATAAGAGAACAGTGTTCCCTCTAAGCATCAGGTGACATTTGCAGTCTGAGAAACATTTCTTTTAATTTCATAAGTTTTGTATTCAAATGATTCAAGGTGTTTTTTTGAAATGAAATCACAACATTTCACAGTGACAAAACAACAGGTACCCAGATGACATTCTGCTGAAGGTACCCGAATGACATTCTGCTGAAGGTACCTGAATGACATTCTATAAAGGTACTCAGATGACATTCTGCTGAAGGTACTCAGATGACATTCTGCTGAAGGTACCTGAATGACATTCTGCTGAAGGTACCTGAATGACATTCTGCTGAAGGTACCTGAATGACATTCTGCTGAAGGTACCTGAATGACATTCTGCTGAAGGTACCTGAATGACATTCCGCTGAAGGTACCCAGATGACATTATATAAAGGTACCCAGATGACATTCTGCTGAAGGTACCTGAATGACATTCTGCTGAAGGTACCCAAATGACATTTTATAAAGGTACCTAAATGACATTTTATAAAGGTACCTAAATGACATTTTATAAAGGTACCTAAATGACATTCTATAAAGGTACCCGGATGACATTCTGCTGAAGGTACCCGGATGACATTCTGCTGAAGGTACCCAGATGACATTCTGCTGAAGGTACCCAGATGACATTCTGCTGAAGGTACCCAGATGACATTCTGCTGAAGGTACCCAGATGACATTCTGCTGAAGGTACCCAGATGACATTCTATAAAGGTACCCAGATGACATTCTATAAAGGTACCCAGGTGACATTCTATAAAGGTGCCCGGAGGACATTCTATAAAGGTGCCCAAATGACATTCTATAAAGGTACCCGGATGACATTCTATAAAGGTACCCGGATGACATTCTATAAAGGTACCCAAATGACATTCTATAAAGGTACCCAAATGACATTCTATAAAGGTACCCAAATGACATTCTATAAAGGTACCCAAATGACATT